TACTACTACTACTACTACTACTACTGCTACTACTACTACTACTACTACTACTACTAATACTACTACTAGTACTACAGGAGCGTTTCCCAACTAGTATGTGTGTGTGGGTGATGCTGTGTGCGCATGTCTGCGGCGCAGGTTAAGTGGTGTGACTGTGTGTGTGCGTTTGAGTGTGCGCCCATAATTTCTGCGTCTGGAGAATAACCCCGAGCGACCCGGATCGGCGGCACTGGCCGAAGGCCACTACAATATATATATATTTACTCAAGGATTCAGCCAGAACGTCCCGCTTGCTTCTCGTACCTCGAAGACGCTTCCCGTCATCCGCCAACGAAAAATCCCGTGCAATAAAGCAACCCATATAGTTAAAGATATATATATATATATATATATATATACTCAAGGATTCAGCCAGAACGTCCCGCTTGCTTCTCGTACCTCGAAGACGCTTCCCGTCATCCGCCAACGAATGATCCCGTGCAGCGCGGCAACCCATATATTAAAGATATATATATATATATATATACTCAAGGATTCAGCCAGAACGTCCCGCTTGCTTCTCGTACCTCGAAGACGCTTCCCGTCATCCGCCAACGAAAAATCCCGTGCGGCGCGGCAACCCATAGATATAAAGATATATATATATATATATATATATTTACTCAAGGATTCAGCCAGAACGTCCCGCTTGCTTCTCGTACCTCGAAGACGCTTCCCGTCATCCGCCAGCGAGGTGCGGGATGCGATCGGTACCCCTTAGTTAGAGAAAATTAAGCCCCTGAACCAACGGTGCACGCCGGAGGCGTTTCCCGTCATCCGCCACCGTGCCTCTGGGCACTGAGTGGCGTCCACAGGTCCTTTGCCTGATCCGCGAAGCCTCAGTTTTCACTTCTGAGAAGTCTCGTGGGGGCCGACAGCCCAAATTCTCAATTCTCTCGGGGCTACCTGCGGCTTATCGGGGATCAGGTGCGTCTTGTCGCAGGATTTCTCCGGGCCCAAGAGGGCCTCCAGACGGGCTAAGTGGGCCCCAAGAGGCCCTAAAGACGGTCGAGTCGAAGAGGGCCCCGAGTCGCTAGAAGGACGTTCCAAGACGCCCAGGCTGGCCTCAAGATGGCCCAAGAGGCCTCCAAGACGCTTCAAAAGGCCTCCCTGAGGCCTCCCAACAGAAACCCAAGGGGCAAACATTATTGATGTTCCGTAGGTGTTTGAAGGATGTTAGTGTTCTCGCCTTTCCTGCTCTCCGACGCTCCTAAACGACCCAAGAGGCACCCAAGACCACCCCAAGACGGCCCAAGAGGTCCCCAAGAGGACCCCAAGACGGCCTGAGAGCGCCCCAAGACGGCCCAAGAGGCGCACAAGACGACCCACGAGAGTACCAAGACGGCCCCCGAAGGAGCCCAGTAGAGGGAGCACGAAACGATAATTCGAGCCTTCTGCCCCAAGAGGCCGCAAAGAGGCCCAAAAGAGGCCCCAAGAGACCCAAACCAGCACCAAGAACTACCTCCAAGAAGCCCCCGAGAGGCCTCCAACGAGACCTCATACCCTCAACCCAGGCAAAGTGGCAGGATGGGCCGAAGACCATCAAATACGAGAGTGGGGGTTAACCAAACAGAGCTCTCCATAAAAACACGTCGCTGAAACACGTCGCTGAAACACGTCGCTGAAACACGTCGCTGAAACACGTCGCTGAAACACGCCGCTAAAACACGTCGCTAAAACACGTCGCTAAAACACGTCGCTAAAACACGTCGTTACAACACGTCGCTAAAACTCGGCACTGCAGAAGGTTGTCGGGGTGGGGAGTTGGCTTGTTGTCCGCTTGCCATCCCGGCAGCCCTCTGGGCGTAAGTGGTTCAGCCGACTGCGTCTTCTTACTGCTCAAAAATCCTCCTTCCTCTGCTCGGGGGAGGGACCCCCTCCCCTGGGCCTGGAGGGAGCGGGCCGCGAGGCGTCAAAGCGTCCTTTTTGGCCCAAGATGGCTCCAAGAGGGCCTCCGAGAGCCCAAGAGGCCTCCAAGATGGCCCACGATAGCTCAATATGGATCTAGATAGCCTCCGACACGCATCTAAGAGGACCCCAGACGGCCCCAAGGTGGTTTCCAGTGCCCTCCGAGCCCTCCAAGGACCACCCCCCCCCCCAAGAGGCCAAACATCCTTCACACATTTCAAGAAAATCAATGTTTTGTGGCCTCTCGCTTTTTCGCCTCCGATGGGCTCTTGAGGCCTCAAGATGGCCCCAAGATGGCCCAACCCCCTCTTTTTGATGATCTCCACGCCACCACCCCCAAGTGGTGGTGGTGGCGTGGTTCTAGTGACGTAATTCTAGTGACATGTTTCTAGTAACGTGTTTCTAGTGACGTGTTTCCAGTGACGTGTTTCCAGTGACGTGTTTCCGGCGACGTGTTTCCAGTGACGTGTTTCCAGCGACGCGCTTCCAGTGATGTGTGTTTCTAGTGACGCGTTTCTGGTGACATGTTTCTCGTGACGCGTTCGCGCTTTTCGCGCCGTGTTTTAGCGACGTGTTTTAGCGACGTGTTTTAGCGACGCGCGTTCCAGCGCCGCGTTTCCTGTGACGTGTTTCCAGAGACGTCGTTCGAGTGACGTGTTTCGAGCGGCGTGTTTCGAGCGGCGTGTTTCGAGCGGCGTGTTTTAGCGACGTGTTTTAGCGGCGTGTTTTAGCGGCGTGTTTTAGCGGCGTGTTTTAGCGACGTGTTTTTGGCACCGCCGCAGCCACGACTCCGACCGCGACTGCGACCACCACTACGACCACGACTACGACCACTACGACGACCACCACCACCACTGCTGCACCACCACGGCTACGACTCCTACCACTACTACCACCACCACCACCACCACTGCTGCATCTACTACTACCACTGCTACTACCACTACGACCACCACTCCTACTACCACTACTACCACCACTCCTACTACCACTACGACCACCACTCCTACTACCACTACGACCACCACTCCTACCACCACTCCTACTACCACTACGACCACCACTCCTACTACCACTACGACCACCACTCCTACTACCACTACGACCACCACTCCTGCTACCACTACGACCACCACTCCTGCTATCACTACTCCTACTACCACTACTCCTACTACCACTACTCCTACTACCACTACTCCTACTACCACTACAAGTACTACCACTACTACCACCACTACTACCACCACTACTACCACCACTACTATTTCCACTACTCCCGCAACCTCTACAGGCCCTACAGCGACGAGTTTAAGCGACGTGTTTTAGCGACGTGTTTTTAACTACGTGTTTTTACGGATACCAGCTCTGTGTGGTTAAACACGTCTTCTGTTTGGTTAACTTACCCCGTTATCAAATACATTCTGGGCATCACGGTTCTGGGCCTTGAGCCACACGGGTGTTCTGGCCCTGTGCTCCATGAACGGTGGTCTACGGCTGGTGCTCCATGACGCCCCCCGTTGCTGCGATGCCTGGTTCTCTCCACGGTGCTCTGTGGGCGGTGCTCCAGGCTCCTTCAGATGCTGCGATGTCCCGTTTTCCCTCTGGGAACCTAACTGAAGGGGCCCCAAGACACACAAATAAATACACACACATAAAATGATGCCCCATATTTTTCCATATTGCTTGAGTTGTTGTCTTCCCCCCACTTCCCATATTTTCCCATATTTTCCCATATTGTCCTGGGAATCGACGATTAATTGTGTCTGTGTGTTCTTTCCCTTCCTGACTAACTGCCCGCGCTCTGCGGTTAGTGATACTGAATGCCGCAGTGGCTGCGAACCTCGCTCTCTCCCCGGCACGCCGTGCCCTGCTGCTCGTGGTAGTCGCTGCCCCAGCTGCTGCAATGTGTGTCTACCTCGCCCTGGTGCTCGCTGGACGGTGCTGCGTGGCTGGCGGTGTCGCAGGTGTTCTGGCCGTGGTGACCTGCGGTGGTGCCCCGGCTGTTGCGAATCGTCGTTCCCGCCCTTCTCCGCCCTGGTGGGTGGGCGGTGCCCGTAGGCGGTACACTGTGATGCCTTGTTTGCACCACACTTACACTGCCTGGAGTCCACGCCGGCAATCAATCAAATGTATATATAGAGAGAGAGAGATGATCTGTATATTCATATATACACACATACATAGTTGTGTGCGGTATATATCTGGAAGTGCGTGAGCATGCATGTGTGCATTAGAGCTTCCAAGACGGACCCGATTGGCCCCCGAGACCCGCCCAGGAGGGCCACCGAGGCACCCAAGATGAGCCGAAGACACCCCAAGGAGGACCCCAAGAGGGTCCCTGGATGGGGAACCAGAAGTGATGTTTGAATCCATCCACCCCCAGATGGGGCCCTGCCCCCGTAAGACCTCCAAGAGGTCCCAAGAGGCCACAGAAACTGCCCCGAGAGCGCACCGATACCATCTCACGAATAAGCACTGACTCGCGATGTTGCATGCTCGGCTCTCCGTGCAGGTCCGACGCGATTCCCGCTCTGCGGGCTCAATTGAGCTCCCCTCAAAACGTGTACCCAAGTCACGCAGATCAGCCTACCATCAAGGGCTGTCCTCGTCGTCCCCATCCGCCTCCTCATCTTCACCCTCATCCTCACCCTCATCGTCCACCATGCTCCTGCTCCGCCTCCTCCTCCTCCTTCTCCTCCTCCTCCTTGTCCTCCTCATCCTGACTCATCCTTCGCCTCACTTCTTCATCATCCGTCTCGTGCACCATCCTCCTCTCCTCCTCCACCATTCTCCTCCAGCATCCTCCTCCACCATCCACCTCCAGCATCCTCCTCCTCATCTTCCCTCCTCTATCCTCCTGACGCCTCCTCCTCCCTGCTCCTCCTCCCTACTCCTTCTCCCCCTCCACCCCTTCTCCGCCCTCAAAGGTGTCCTCTTCCCTCTGGGTCCCCGATGCTGGTCCTCACTGCGGCGCGGGCAAGATACTCACGCGGGCCCGCGACGACCGGAGGAGGCGGTACGACCCTGTGCGGCCTGTGGGGAGGCCGCGGGTCCTCCTGCTTGAGCTCCAGCGACTTCTCCTTGCCGGCGATGTCCTCCTCCGCGCGCGCGCGGGCAGTGGACGTGAAGGAGCGGCATCGGGGGGGGGTCCTGTGGAAGGCTTGGCATGTATTAATCTGGCTACTTCATCGCCCAAGTCGGTACTCCTTGTTAAATGTGTTTTCAGAGGCCATCTCATCGACGCTACGGCGACGTGGGATCTCACAGAAGAGGGGGGTGATTTAGGGAGGAGTCTGGTCTGAGCTGACTTGGAGGTTTCCAAGGGGTCTGAGCGAAAGGCCGGTCTTTCATGGCTGGTTTGAGGGAGTCCAAGGATGCTCGTCAGGGAGGTGTGCGAACCCCCATTCACCTTTCATGGGCAAAACATATATCAGTTATCCGCGGCCGCGGACCGGGCCCCTGGGCTGCGACACTGGTGATACGGGGCGTTTCTCGCGGATGTCCCGCGCGGAGCGTATCATGGCGACCGCGTAGCCGCGAGGGCGCGGATACGGATATGTTCGCCGCTGTGATTTTGTGATAGGTTTGCCGCCGATTTTCGCTGCACGCCCGGGTGCCCGGGGGTGCCCGGATGCCCGGGTGCCAGGGTGCCCAGGGGTGCCCGGAGGTGCCCGCAGGTGCCCGCAGGTGCCCGGAGTTGCCCACTTCGCGGGCGCGGGCACTTACGCTACTCCTACATTACTTAGAAGTACTTAGTGTTAAGTACCCCGTACACACATGTGAACTAGTTATAAGTACCACGTAAGTATACCAAGCGCGCACGTAAGTGTTTCATAACTATACCTAAGTAAAACGTAAGTAACGCCTAAGTATGCCTCTCGTTTGCACACGGCGAAGACACGTCAACAACAGACATGTGCGTTGACACAAATAGGGCAACAGCAATAAATCGCAATGACCATGGACACGCGAGAAGGAGCATACGTTGAATGATCGGCTGCCTCTTAGGGTTTCTCGGGGGCGCGGGGCACTCGCAGGGCTCACTGAAACGATCGGGGCGCAAAATGGATGGCGGCCCTTGGGCCAGGATTTTGACATCTTGGGGGCGGGGGTCGTTGCAAGGTTTGCAATGCACGTGGTATCGGGGCCTTTTGGGGGCATGTATGAGGCGATGTTATGCCGCATTTTGGAAACCACGTTGTGCCATCACAGGCCCTCTTGGGCCCGTACCTCCGCATTTGTTCCCTCGACGTGAACGTGTTTGTGAGTTCTATCGCAATCGCAGTTGCCGTTGTCATCGTCACCCATCCTCCGCCTACTCCTCCTCCTCCTCCTCCTCCTCATCTTCCTTTTCCTCCTCCTCCTCATCCTCTCCCCCTCCTCCTCTTCCTCCTCCTCCTCCTCATCTCATTTACTGTTTGTGTGTGTTGCGTGTATTGGTTTATTGTAACACGTTGAGGGGCGAGCCTCCTCAACGCTCAACAATAACGAACATGTTTTCTTCGTGTGTTGATGCGTGTTTGTTTGTTTGCTTTTTCTGTGTATGTGCGAGCCTCCTCGCCCGCAAAGGTTTCTCCTCGCTGCGCTCGGCACAAGCATTATCAGCCCGAAGTGAAAGGAACGGGCTGCTCCAACGTAAATAATCCTGCCCTCCGCAGGACAAATGGGAACGCACACAAAAGGGCGGAAACTGGCAGAGCAAGCCTCCTACCTGTCGAAAGCCACAGACCGTTCTCAACGGACCGCCTGTAAAGAGTGATCGCCACTGCGATGGTCAGCGCACCGCTATCGAGATCGGCGCCCTGCACAAACAAATCTACGAGCCCGTGGTGGTTGTGTCCATTGTGAGAGCACTGCACGAAGTCACCAGCTTTTACCGCCCCTATCCGAGTCTGAACCACCGAGCACGTGCAAATGGCGGGCCCAACTCGCGGGGAAATCGTCTGAAATAAATGGCGCAACTGCGGCTGTGGCGTTGCAGCCCCATCAATATACTCAGGCACAAACGTGTTCACGTCTTTCAAGTTCTCTTCAAGCTCGCACAACACAAGATCAATGATGTGGGGGGCCGCTTGCTCGGTCGTGCAACGCTGGGCTATAGCTTTACAATCTTTATGTTTTCGTTCACACGCGAAACACGAAACATTCACACGTAGACGGGGGAGGTTGAGTATAGAATGGTGTACGTAATGGATCTTTGGCTTCACAACACCCAAACCGTAAACCGACACGCACCGCTCATGGTGTTCCACTGCAACATTGGCAAGCAGCCCAGAATACTGAACAGCGCGGTCGCCCATCCCTGGGGAAGCAAGTTTGAATAGTGTTGCAATCTCGCTTTTGGTGTTCTTTTTTTAGAGCTAAACTGGTGAAAGCGGGACGCGGGGCGAATGGGGAGGGACACAAAGGGGCCCGTGAGGGATGAGAGGGACAGGGCGAGGAAGGATATGGGAAAATGGAGGACGGGCAGATACGACATTGTTGGTTCTTCGTTTGTCGTTGTTTTTGGGTAGTGTGTGTTCGGTCGGAAAGCGCAATTGCAACACTGTTCACGTTTATCCCACCCGTGACGTAAGATGCCCAGCATGCGGTGCAATCGAGCGAGGCAGTCTCGTTGTCCTTGAAGATGGCCTTGTGGCTCAAGGACCAGAACAGATAGGAACATCAGAACTTCTACGGCCATGATCGTCTCGGTTGCAAAGCATGCTAGGTGGCCAGCATCGCCCATGCGAACTTGTGTTCTAAAGAACTCTTTGCTAAGACCTCGCCCACGCCCTGGCCACCGTATTGTTTGTTGAAACTCGTCTATTTTTGCTAAATCCAGGCCCTGTCGTTTAAGTTCGCTGTTCCTTATTACTGCGACGACAAATGCGTTGCACTCGTATTGCCCGATCCCCCCAGAAGAACAACACCCATGCATCCAATCTTCCGCTATGTGAGAAACCACGCTGAAATGAGGTTTCAGCGTCCTGTCCCATAACAACCCATTGGGTTGGTATTTGATACCAGTTAATTGCTCCATGGTTTCAACGTGAGATTTCGTAACGCGGCGTCCGTCAGCAGGCTCAGCTACATCACGAAGGAGCTTCAACATTTGGTCAACAGTGTCGTCTGTGTGGGGGTCGAAATCAAGCGGTAAAGTGGTCAAGCAATCTCGCCAGTATGGCTCTGTCGGCCCGTAAGATACATTGCGTGTGATATTTTTACATTTTATGCATACCTTTGTTCCACTGGCCCCGCGAAGGGAGCAATACTCTTTATGTGCTTTTTCGTCTTGCATTAGGCATAGGAGCCTTGCGCATAAACGAAAGTGTTGCCCACTTCTGCCAATAGGAAGGACCACGCCCGAAGTCAAATCGCAGTCCGACGAAAAAAAAATCTTCGTAATCAATTTACCAATCTGGGCGAGACCATCTTTTAGTTCTACCTGTCGGGCAACGGGGATAAACGCATATGTGAACCAGCCACAAGCCCTGCTGTGATACCAATCAGGGAAGAACGAAAATGTCCAATATATGCACTGGTACTTGGTCGCGTGGTCGTGCCTGTACGCGTTCCCAGTCGTACACTCATCCGTGTAAATTACAACAGACGAGTCAGAGCTGCGAGCTTGAAACTGCGCGTGCAAGAATGTTGCGAAAGCTGCATTCGCATCGCATAAGTGGTACAGCAAGGCGCACGGGTGCAATACTAAAGCAAGGTACTCAGAACCATCGGTACATTCTAAAGGTATGTGCGATTTCACTGGCCCGACTGGCGTCCGAATGTCGACTCGCTGACCCAAGTCCCGCCTGATGTCCCACCGTGCAGACTCGACCGACTCGGCAAGCCCATCCCGAACTAACTGCCTAGCCCGAGCCCTCGAAGAAACGCGTATATCGTGAGAAGCAGGTCGTTTCATACAAACATGTGCACAACATCGTTCGGGCCTACACTGCAACTGCGTAGGCACGCGCGATGAAACGAACAGAAGATGGGGGGAGACGACGGGAGGAGAGGATGGGATTGCAGGAGAGGAGGTGAGGACAGGGTGAGGATAGGAGGAGGATGATGAGGAGGAGGAGGATGGGGAGGGAGGAGGGGGAGGAGGAGGAGGAGGAGGAGGAGGAGGAGGAGGAGGAGGAGGAGGAAGAGGAGGAGGAGGAGGAGGAGGAGGAGGGGAGCAATGGGAGCAATGCAGAGAGCGTGCAAGCGAATCACGATCACACCTCGAACTAGGGAAGACGGAAACGACCACTTTGGGACGAAAGGGGTCGGTTTAGGGGAAGAGGAGGCGGAGGCGGAGGAGGAGGAGGAGGAGGAGGAGAAGGAGGAGGAGGGGGGGAGGAGGGGGTGGAGGAGGGGGGGGAGGAGGAGGAGGAGGGGGAGGAGTGACGTTGAGGAGTTCCTTGTTTTTCAAGTTGCTGTTGCGTTAGGACATAGGGGATATCCCGACGAGCAGGTGCATTGCCAGTTTGCTAGATTTCTGTTTGGTGTGGTCTGTCTGCTCGGTGTTTCCCGTTGGGCTCTTTTTCTGGTGTAATTTTCTGATCTGTCTGTATGCTTTTCTGTTGTGCTAGCCCCGCTCCCCTTTCCTCAGCCCCTCCCTCCCTCCCCGTTCATATGTTTTGAAGCTCTGTGCGGCACGGCTCACGCGCTCTCACGGCGCGCCGCCTCGGTGGTGCCGTCGACTTCGCCCATGGCGATCTCGTGCTCCCAAGTGCCCCAGTGCGGCGGTTCGGCCCGAGCCTTCTGCATCTCGGTCGGGTTGCCAGCGGCTGCGCCAGACTCGTGCCCAAGACCTGGAGGCGGCCTCAACAGCGTTGCCGACGCCGTGCTCGCCGTTGGCCTCGACCTTCTCCCGCCGTGCTCGCCGTTGGCCTCGACCTTCGTCAGCGCCAGGTAGCAAGCGTACCTCAACCACTCTGGTGGCCCGTGGACTGTCAAGAGCCGCTTGCCAGGATGTTGCCGACTACGTTCTCGCACTGATGCTTTACATCCCGTGAGGCGCTGTATCTCAGTTTGGTCCTCGGCAGTCACGGTGCCGCCATCTGGGAGCACGAATGGGCCGAGAAGACCAGTGAGATCATCTTGGAACGCTGCCGCCGACAACATCCTT